CCGCTCCGGCCGCCCTGAACATTTGTTTTCGTTTTTTTTTTGCTTGGGGCGGCAAAAAAGCCAGAGCCAGCCCTGTATGGAAATGTGTATCCATGGCGCTGGATTCCAGTACTTAATTTACATCACAGCAGACAGAGGTGACTAAACTTCTCCTATCTGACAGAAAACCTTTGTCAACTTGTCAGGGAGTGTGGGGGAGTCAGTGCCCTACACCCTTCTTCCTGGGATTCACCATGACTCTCAGCCAGTCAGTAAAACAGAAGGTTTATTGGACAATAGGAATGCAGTCTAAAACAGAGCTTGTAGGTACAACCAGGACCCCTCAGTCGAGTCCTTCTGGGGGGCAGGGAGCTTAGACCACAGCCTTGGGGTTCCCTGCGTTCCACCATCCAGCACAAAACTGAAACCAAAAAAACCTCCAGCAGGCTCTCTCCTCTCCCCCCAGCTCCTCCTCTAGCCTTTGTCCAGTTATCTGGGCAAAGGTGTCACCTGGCCCCACCCCCTTCCTGGCTCAGGTTACAGGCTCATCCCCTGCTATCCCATCCCCAATGCAGACAGTCCCAGTAAAACTAGATGATATTCCCAGGTCAATCCACCCTGCTCCCTACTGCATCACATCTCTCCCCCCTTTGAGACTGAACTGAGCGGGGTCACTCTGACCAGTGACCTGGGGAAGTTCAGGGCCCCCTCTCCAGGGCAACGCATCTGCTATCAAGTTGGCACTTCCCTTCACATGGACCACATCCATATAATAATCCTGCAGGAGGAGGCTCCACCTCAGGAGCTTGGCGTTGGCTCCTTTCATCTGGTGTAGCCAGGACAGGGGAGAGTGGTCAGTGTACACGGTGAAGTGTCGCCCAAATAGATATGGCTCTAGTTTCTTGAGGGCCCACACCATGGCCAGGCATTCCTTCTCGATGGCCATGTAGTATTGCTCCCAGGCTAGCAACTTCTTGTTCAGGTACACGATGGGGTGTCTCTCCCCCTTTTCATCATCCTGCATTAACACCGCGCCCAGTCCCATGTCTGAGGCGTCGGTGAACACCATAAAGGGCTTGTCAAAGTCTGGGTTTGCCAAAACTGGGCCACTGACCAGAGCCTCCTTCAGCGCCCGGAGAGCCTCCTGGCACTCCTTGGTCCAGACCACCTTGTCTGGCTTCCCCTTCTTGCATAGCTCAGTGATGGGTGTGGCTATGGAGCTAAAGTGGGGCACAAATCTTTGATAGTACACCACCGGGGGGGAGGGATAACTCAGTGGTTTGAGCATTGGCCTGCTAAACCCAGGGTTGTGAGTTCAATCCTTGAAGGGGCCATTTAGGGATCTGGGGAAAAAATCTGTCTGGGGATTGGTCCTGCTTTGAGCAGGGGGTTGGACTAGATGACCCTCTGAGGTCCCTTCCAACCCTGATATTCTATGATCCCAATAAAGGTTTGGACCTGTTTTTTGGTTTGGGGGGTGGGCCAGTCTCTGATTACCTCCACTTTGGCTGGTTCCGGCTTTAGGCAGCTGCTCCCCACCCGGTGACCTAGGTAAGATACTTCAGCCATCCCCACCTTGCACTTCTCAGCTTCCTGTCTCCACCCGGTTTCCAGGGGGAGCCAGCTCTTGTCTCAGGGAATAGGTCTACTAAAGGGTCATCTCCCTGCTCCTCCCAATGTCCACACATGGCCAACACCACATTCCCCCTGTCATAATATGGCTTCATCATATTCACATGGTACACCTGGTGGTGGTGTGCCCGGTTAGACAGCTCCACCGCATAGTTTACCTCATTTAGCTGCTTGACAACCTTGAAAGGACCTTCCCAAGCAGCCTGTAGTTTGTTTTTCTTCATGGGGATGAGAACCATCACCTGATCCCCGGTGGCGTAGTCGCGGGCCTGCGCCGTGTGGTCATACCAGACCTTCTGCTTCCTCTGGGCTCTGGCTAAATTCTCCCTGACCAGGCCCATGAGCTCAGCAAGTCTCTCTCAGAAGATCAGGACATACTCCACCACTGACTCTCCATCGGGAGTGGCCTTCCCCTCCCATTCGTCTCTCATTAGGTCCAGGGGCCCCCTTACCCTCCTTCCATATAACAGTTCGAAAGGCGAAAATCCAGTAGACTCCTGGGGTATCTCCCTGTACGCGAACAGCAGGTGAGGTAAGTACTTGTCCCAATCCTGCGGGTGCTGGTTCATTAAAGATGATGCTAAAAACCTTTGAGTTCCATTGAACCTCTCCACCAGCCCATTGGACTGGGGGATGATAAGCTGTGCCGGACCCCACATTTCTCCCACAAGCACCGGAGCAGGGCCGACATGAAGTTGTATCCTTGGTCTGTCAAGACTTCCTTGGGGAACCCCACTCGGCAGAAAATGGTCAGGAGCGCATCTGCCATGGTGTCTACTTCAATGGAAGCTAAAGGCACTGCCTCGGGGTAGCGGGTGGCGAAATCTACCACCACCAGAATGTATTTCTTCCCCGACTGGGTCATCTTGCTGAGAGGTCCCACTGTGTCCATGGCCACCTTCTGGAAAGGCTCCTCTATGATGGGCAAAGGTCTCAAAGCTGCTTTCCCCTTGTCCCGGGCCTTCCCCACCCTCTGACAGGGGTCACAGGATTGACAATACTGATGGACAATGGTAAAGACCCCGGGCCAGTAAAAGTTCTGTAGCAGCCTCTGCCTGGTGCGCCGGATTCCCTGGTGTCCTGCAAGCAGGATGTCATGGGCCAGGTACAGTAGCTTGCGGCGATACTTCTGCAGTACCACCAGCTGCCTCCTGATCCCCCAAGACTACATGTCCCTTGGGGGAGCCCATTCTCAGTACAGGAACCCCTTCTCACACAGAAACCTCTCCTGGCAACCTCTCCTCATGGTCTGTACCACACTGAGGTCGGCCAGTTCCCTTAGCTTCCACAAGGAGGGATCTTTCTGCAACTCGGTCTGGAACTCAGCGGCTGGGGAAGGGATGGGGGCCTGCTCCCTCTCGCCGGCTGGGTCTGAAGCCGCAGCCTCTCTGACCCTTGTCCCTGGGCACTCCCTCCCCACCAGGGTAGGGTCCTGCTCCTCCGGTGTGGTACCCCTCCCGAGGTCAGGGCGTCGTGCCCCTCACCACCTCTGGCTACGGGTCATGACCAGGGCATTCTGGGAGTTGCTTGGCCAGTCCTCTAGGTCCCCCCCATCAACACCTCAGTGGGCCAATGGTAGTGCACCCCCACGTCCATGGGGCCCTCCTTGGCCCCCCATTTCACATGTACCCTCGCCACAGGCACCTTGAATGGGGTCCCGCCCATCCCTGTCAGGGTCAGGTAGGTGTTGGGCACAACCTGATCTGGGGCCACCACCTCGGGCCAGGCCAGCGTCACCTCTGCGCCCGTATCCCAGTATCCATTGACCTTCCTCCCATCCACCTCCAGGGGAACAAGGCACTCACTCCGCAGGGACAGCCCCGCGCCCACGCTGTAAATGGAGAACCTTGAGTCCAGGGCATCCAGCCCTCCAGAGGAGCTGGCCTGGGGCACTTCTCCCTCCTGAGCAGGTGGTAAACTGTCAGCCCCCCTTGCCTGGGCCGTCTGCCCCTCATCCGGCTGGGTCCCTACCCAGTTAACCCTGGGTGGGTTGGGTCTGCTCAGTCTGTCCCTGAGCCTGGGGCACTGGGACCGTATGTGGCCTCTCTGGCCACAGTGATAGCAGCTCATGTCCCATTGGTCCCCTCGAGCGGGTCGGATGGTCCTGACGCCAGGTGTTCCCCTTTGGAGGTGGTTCTCCATATTTCCCCACTGGGAGGTCCCATGGTGACTCTCACTCTGCATTGTGGTAGGCCTGTTCTTTTGGGACTCCTCCCTGATACCCCCTGACCGACTGTTCACAAACTCATCGGCCAGCTGGCCTGCATGCTGCGGGTTCTCTGGCTTTTTGTCCACCAACCATAGCCTCAGGTCGGATGGGCACTTTTCATACAGTTGCTCCAGTACGATTAGGTCAAGCAGGTCCTCTTTAGCTTGGGCCCCAGCTGTCCACTTGCGGGCATATCCCTGCATCCGGTTGACCAGTTGTAGGTATGTGACCTCGGGGGTTTTACGCTGACTCCGGAACCTTTTCCGGTACATCTCGGGAGTCAGCCCAAACTCGTGGAGCAGGGCCTTTTTGAACAGTTTGTAGTCCCCTGCCTCCGCCTCTTTCATTCGGCTGTACACCTCCAAGGCTTTGGAGTCCAGTAAGGGGATGAGAAACTGGACCCTGTCTGCAGGGTCAACCCTGTGCATCTCGCAGGCAATTCTCAAAGGCTGTCAGGAAGCAATCTATGTCCTCCCCCTCCTTACGCGGGGCCAGGAAGCACTTATCAAAGCTACTTGCAGTCTTGGGTCCCCCCTCACTCACCGCAGCCGGGGCCCCACTGCTCCTCAGCCTGTCCAGCTCCAGCTCATGCTGACGCTGTTTCTCTGTCTCCTCCAGCTCATGCTGCCACTGCTTTTCGCGATCCTCCAGCTCCCTCAATTTCATCTCCCTCTCCCATTCCAGCCACCTCCGTTCCAGGGATGGGGTGCTCCACTGGGAGGATCCCCTGCTGGCTGCCGGGGTCAGTGTGCCCTCAGTATTCGCTGGGCTTCCCCCAACCCCTTCCCTAGGCATAGGTAGGAAGGGTCTCGGGATGTCCTCGGCAGCAGTCTGACCCCTCCCAGCCAGGTCAGGCCCAGGGCCCACGCTGCGTCCACCAGGAGGCTTCCCTCAGGGACAGGGATTGGTTCATCCAAGTGATCCTTGTCCTCAACTGGGCAATCAGCTGTTCTTTGGTGGACCTCCCAATGCGCAGCCCCCTCTGCCTACACAGCTCCACTAGGTCGCTCTTAAGGCGTTTAGCATACATCTTCCTGCTGGCCACTCACAGGCCTGTGTGCTCAGCTTTCCACCATTTCCAGGAAGATCCCCTAGTGCAATCCCCAGGGGACCCTGTTACTGCAAAAGTCCTTCTCTCGGGTCACACACTCCCAGGGATTAATTGCCCCCTGAAACTGTCTCTCTCTGAATCTTCAGCACACCTGGTCTCCGTCAATCCCCCTTCGTTTTACTGTTCCCCAGTGACTTACTGCAGGAAGCACCGTCTACGGGGTTCAGTAGATCCACCACTGCCACCAGTTGTCATGGAGTGTGGGGGAGTCAGGGCCCTACCCCCCTCTTCCTGGGATTCACCGTGACTCTCAGCCAGCCAGTAAAATGGAAGGTTTATTGGACAATAGGAACGCAGTCTAAAACAGAGCTTGTAGGTACAACCAGGATCCCTCAGTCGAGTCCTTCTGGGGGGCAGGGAGCTTAGACTGCAGCCTTGGGGTTCCCTGCGTTCCACCACCCAGCACAAAACTGAAAGCAAAAAAACCTCCAGCAGGTTCTCTCCCCTCCCCCCAGCTCCTCCTCTAGCCTTTGTCCAGTTACCCGGGCAAAGGTGTCACCTGGCCCCACCCCCTTCCTGGCTCAGGTTACA